GAAATGCTTATTCATCCATTTTTTTTCATTCATTCATCCCTGAAATATTGGAAGAATCCAGCAAAGGACTCCAATGCATTAGATAGTTCTTCTTTGAAGAGATTGTGGGAAAACATGTATGAGATTCACGCAGGGTGAAATGTGGGCAGGTTATGATTCTTGTTGGTGGAGCTGATCACGTTTTGATGATGTCCATCACTATTCTACTTCCCAGTCTCTGGTCAATTATTGTCGGTCCCAGCGTTTTTTAAGTTGAAAATTGATTATATTCCCCCTATGAAGTCAATAAAGTTTGTCTTCAGCACTGCCATTGAGAGTCATTGATCTAGGACTGGAAGGCACTTTCTCGACCACTTGGTCCGACCCACCCACTTTATAGATAAGGAAGCTGAGGCCCGAGGATGCAGGTGACCTGACCGACTTTGCACAGGTAGTAAGTAGTAGAGCTGGGTGGGATTAGAACTCAGGTTCTGTAACTCAAATTCACCACTTTCCTTTACATCCTTCTTCATGCTTCTCTTAGTACCCAATGCTACCATGGGCCCCATGAGTCCTAAGCTCTCTGTCCCCCAGCCCTAAGTCTTCTACTGTAGTCTTCCACAGGTCTATTCTCTCTTCATTATCCTAGAAATAGGGCAGGATTTGGGGTAAGAAGACTTTGGTTCAAATTCCAGCTTTATTACTTGCTAGAGTACAAGACCTAGACTAAGTCAGTTATTTCTATGAGCCTCAGTTTCCTCATCTGCAAAGGGACAGATAGAGTAGGTAATCTTCAAGTCTCCTCCATCCCATGCTTCTGACCTCCCTTTCTAATCTTATCCTTGAGACCACAGCACAGCAGAGTGGAAAGAGGACTGATGCTGGAGTCAGAAGACCTGAGTTCAAATTCTACTCCAGATACTTCCTGTCTGATTTTAAGTAAGTCACTTCCCTTCCATAGGACCATTTCATTATTTTTGAAATGAGGACCATCAGACTAGATGGCCTTTGAGGGCCCTTCCATCAATAGATCTCCATTCAGGGCAAACTCCACTCATTCCCCCTGAGATATTAATGATTTCTCATATAAGTGGGAGAATCAATGTGGTTTGTGATTAGACTTCTGGGCTTGGAGTCCTAACTTGGAATGAGGAGATGTGGATTCTAATCTTAGCTCAGCCACTCCCTTTGTGACAACAGTCCAATCACTAAACCTTTCAGAGCATCCCTAAAACTGGGATCAGAATACTCACTGAGCTATTGTGAGCAAAGTGATACATACATGGGATTATCATTCAAGTGTTCCCCTTTGCTGTGGGCGATGCATTTCCAAAGACAGGCCTGTAGAATTCTTATTGTTATTATTTATTTATTATTAAATTAATTCTTTAACCCAGAGGAATGATTCGTTGGCCATAATCCCGGTTATGAAGGGATTTTGGAGTCCTAGCAGGACAATGGATGGAGCTTTTTGAGACCGGGGCAGAGGTCCCAGTACATCTCACACCAATCAACAATTAATCAGGGTATATTAAGTCACTGTGCTAAGCACTGGGGATACAGATACAGAGGATGACATTCCCTATGTACAAGTTTGCATTCCAATGAAAGAACTTACATCAAGGGATGTGGTCTCTCCTCATTCTCCTTCATCTCATGCATCCAATCAGGATGCTACACCTTGTCTTCTCTGTTTTTATAATTCTTCTGGAAGACTCCTTCCCTCTACTCACATAGCTACCTCCCTAGTTCAGGCCCTCATCACCTGTAACCTCATGTTGGCCAATCTGATAGGTGTGATGTGGTATCTCAGAGTTGTTTTGATTTGCATTTCTCTAATCAATAGTGATTTAGAGCATGTTTTTCACATGACTGTATAATTTCAAATGCAATACTTCATCTCCCATCTCCATGACTTTGCACTGGCTTGGAATGCTCTCCCTCCTTACCTCTGTCTCTTAGAATCCCTGGCTCTCTTCAAATGTAACTCCTAGGAAGTCCTTCCCTCCTCCTTTAAGGCCTATTTTTACCTATTCTGCATGTATCACGTTTGTACTGATTTATGCACATGATGCTTCTCCCATTAGAATGTAATATCTTGGGGCAGCTAGATGGCACAGTGGATAGAGCACCGGCCCTGAAGTCAGGAAGACCTGAGTTCAAATTTGACCTCAGACACTTACTAGCTATATGACCCTGGGCAAGTCACTTAATCCCAATTGCCTAAAAAAAAAATGTAATGTTTTTGAACATGGAGATTGTTTTTTCTTTTTCTATCTATCTTCAGTGCTTAGTGCAGTATCTGGCTCATAGTAAGCATGTAATAAATGCTTTTTGATTGATTGATTGAACCCAGCCCCGGACTAGAAACATGGCTCTGATATGCAACAGGTCAGGCCATCTTCCAAACACCAATAGGGCAAATTTTCACTCTCACTCACATTAGTTGGTGTATTGGAGAGTATATCAGACTAGGAGTCAAGAGTCCCAGGAACAGGCTTTGAAATTCACTTATTGCCCATGTAACTTTGAACAAATCCCTCCATCTCTCTTGAGCCTCATTGTCCTCATCTGTAAAATAGCACAATATCCTGGCAATATGCTGAACAGGATTATTGTGGGGAAAGCCAAGCTTTCACTATATAAATGTCAGCAATACTACCATATAGGTGACACTGGGGCCTGGAACCTAACAGGAGTTATGTTCAGTAGAATCAGATGGTTCTGAGATGGTCATCTAATATAAACTCTCACTTTATAAATGAGTTCTTGGCTCTTGTCCCTAATTTGGGGTCTTTTTAAGTGATATTTTTTAAAAATTTTGATAAATGTATTTCAATATAGTTGGTTTCTTTTGCAATCCACTAAGTTTTATTTGCTGCATTTAAAAACACTATTTTGAGAAGGGGTCTATAGGTTTCAGGAGACACCAATAAAGGGTCTATGACACAAACAATATTAAAAATCCTTGCCCTATACCAACTTTCTTGTTCTCATCAGCTCCCATGAGCTCAACTATCATCTCCATGTGGATGAATGCTGACATTTTCCTGTCTCCATACTCTCTCCTGAGAGTCCTGCATCGCCAACTGATTAATGGGCATCTGCTACAACTAGATGTCCCTACAGTATATCAAGCTCAATATGTCCCAAACAGAGCTCATTATCTCCACCCCCCTCCCCTTTCTTCTTCCTAGCTTTCTGATTCAATAAGGATACCACTATTCTTGTCCTCACCCAGGTTCACCACCTTGGATTCATCCCCAACTATTCCTTCTCCTTCATCCTTCCTATTCAATCAGTTGCTAAATCTTGTGGATCCTATTTCTATAGTATCTCCAATACCCATCACTTCTCCATTCACACAGCCACTACCTTGATTGAGTCCCTCCTCACCTCTCATCTGGACAGCAGCCTCTTAATTAGCCTCTTTGAGTCATCCTAAACTGTCCTCTATAGGTGCCAATTAATATTCCTAAAGCACAGATGTCACTCCACAGCTCAAGAAGCTCAAATAACTCCCTCTTTCCTCTAGAATAAAATCCAAATCTCTCTGAGTTTAAAAGCCTTCCACTACCTGGCTTCAGCTTTCCTGTCTATACTCATTACCCATTTTTCTCTCAAGTATCCCCTCTGCTTTCTAGCCAAAATGGCCTACTTCCCCATGCAGACACTGTACCCTGTATCTGTACTTTCAAACAGGCTCATCTATTCCTCCCTTTATTCCCCCCTCCACTCCCTCTATCCCTCTGTCTTGTAGAATCCCAAGCTTGCTTCAAAGCTCAATCCAGGTGCCATCTTCTATAGGAAGCCAATACTGATCTCTCCCAGAAATTATTTTGTATCTATATTTGTTTTTTTCTATCTATCCATCTAATAGTGTGTGTTTTCCCCGGATAGAACTCAGGTTCCTTGAAGGCAGTCTGTTTCCTTTTTTTGTCTTCTTATACCAGTGACTGGCACAATGCCTGGCAGTAGGTGCTTAATAAACGAATACAGAAGGAATGAAGAAACTGAGGAGCAGGGCCAGGAAGTGACTAGCCCAAAGTCACACAGAGCTGGATTTCAAACCCAGGTTCTCTGACTGCATGGCGCCACTCCTAAATTATCTGGTACAAACTTTCATTCCACAGAAGAGAAAATCGAGAACTAGAGAGAGTAGAATTGATCTGAATATAGGCTGTCTCCCCTATCCCACACGAGATACTGAAGGGGAAAAAAACAGGTTGACGCTAAAAAATGCCCTTGATTCTATAGGGGACAAACCAGATGCGGGAGGTGGGGTGGGGTCGACGTGTGTCTGCTTTATTCCTGCTCCTAGGGGCAACACGAAGAGTAGAGGGCTCTCCCATGGGCAGGGGAAGGAAGCTCAGAGGAGGTCAAGTGTGCTGATGGCTGAGATTAGTCCCAGCCTTTCAGGTTGGCATCGTCTAGTAGGCTGGGGCAGGGGCTGAGACAGAGGGTGCCAGCCTCCTCACTCCCATCCCAGGCACAGTACAGCTGCCGCTTTCAGGAGTTTACTAGACCCTAAGGTTGGGGTGACTGGCCAGGTTTTCAGCCTTTTCCCAGGGGACATCATGTTTAGTCCATTTCCTCCCCCAGCCAGGAAGTGTCCAGGCTTGGGGGCTCCGGCCAGGAGAGAGAATCCGGCCTCCAAGTCACTCCATTTCTGGGCCTGCGGGGGCTGACGATGACATCATTCCCAGCTGGCTTTCCGAATCCTGGATACTGTATTGATCTGATTATAGGCCCCTTCTAAAAATGAGATTTCATTCAAAGAAAGACAAAAAAAAGCCCGTAATCTTACAATGAAAAACATGCCGATTATAGGAAGTTTTCAACTCTTATACAAGGTAGCTTTGGGGGTGGGGGGTGGGCTGAGGCAGTGAGGTGGGGATGAGGGTGGGGAAGGGAAAAGTGCGCCCCATACTCTGACTAATATGGTACTTCCCCCCAGCCGTGGCAGCCCAGTTCCCCCCACCCGCTTCAGTCCCCCTGTTCTCCCCGCCCTCCCTGGGAGAGCCTGCCCGAGACCGCCTGCAGCCCAGCTTCCTGGGTCAGCACTAGCCTGGCCCAGCCCAGCCCTGCTCAGCCCAGCCCTTTCCTACTCGGTCCCTCCATTCATGTCTTGACCGCAGCTGGCCCGGGACCGGTCCCCCACTTCCACGACTCGGCCTGGCAGCTGAAGATGCCGGCGGCTTCCCCAGCTCCAGCTCCCTCTCCAGACTCCCGGTAGAGAAGGGGGTCGGACTCTGCGGGGAGCTGAGCGCAGCTGGACTGGACCGCGCCTGGGCCCCCGGGGGACCCTTCGGGAAGCAGCTTGGGCTGCTGCTTCTGCTTTGGAGGAGGGAGGAGGAGGAGGTGGAGGAGAGGGAGGGTAAGTGCTCTCATGGCTTTTGTTGGCTTTGGCTGGGACTGGCGGGGAGGAGGCGGGAGCCCAGAGCGGGTAAGGTTCTGGGGCAAGGGAATGGAGCAAGTTCGGAGGAGGTGGGTGGGGGGCGGCGGCTTTTGTTCCCAAATGTGCCCTAGCTTGGGAGCCCGCCCGCCCGCTCTCCTGGCAAGACACCGGTGCTGACCCCAGACGAGAAGTTGGCAGTTGTAGCTTTTGTTCTAGTCCGGGAGAAGGGAGGAGAATTGGCTCGGGGTTCCCATCTCACTCTCTGCATTCCTACTTCCTCCCCCTACCCCCATCCACTCAGACTGGCGGGGACAGAGGAACACAGATGGCTAGACAGAGGGACAGTGGCGCGCGCGCGCCCGGGCAAACACACACACACCACACACACACACACAGTCCAGATCTTAAAAACTATTCCCACCAGCGCACACCGTGTAAACACCGGTGCTCTGGATTGTAGGATTGCTGATTATGCGGTAGGCAGATTGTAAGGGGATTCTGTCTGAGTCATCTCTACATTGCATCCTACCCCTAGTGTGTTTTGGCAATGAAGTACAGGGTCTGCTTAGCACCCTTGCCTCTGATTTCCCTTCCTACTTTCTACTCCATCTCAAGGGGACCCCTCTGTCTCTGATTCTTCTTCTCACTTTCTATCCCCAACCCAAAGGGTCCTTCTTACCCCTAAGCCTAATTCTTTCCTTTTCTCCTAGGCTCATGAGTTCAATTTCAAATGTGTGGAGTGTACAATTTATATTATTCAGACTCTGGGTGCCATAGGAGTTGAGAGGGAAGATCAGTATGGACTTGGGAGGACTAGGAGGGCTTCTTGAGGGTGGTGGGACTGGAGCTGGATCTTAAGGGATGGGGAAGATTGGGCCAAGGGGCTCCTTCTGGGCAGCTGGAAATGTGGACTTATGGGACAGCTTGAGCTGAGGCATAAAATCGGAAATAGACATGGTATGTGAGGGGACAATGAGAGGAATGGTCTGGAAGGAGAAGAGGATGTGTATGGGGGAGAAGCAGATAATCGTGGATGGAGAGAAAACAGAGACTATAATCAGAGGCTTCATAAGGAGGTAGGGGAGAAAGAGATGAGCACAAAAAAAAAACTGGCAGTTATGGGTTTGAAAGTTATGATGAGTTTGAGGTAAGATGGGGAAATTATGAGCTGGTCTGTATTGGGGACAAAAAGGAGACACGAAGTGGAAATGACCAGTTTATTGAATTACTCTGACTGGAACTTTTTTTTTTTTTGCTTTTTTTTTTTTTTGGTGAGGCAATGGGGTTTAAGTGACTTGCCCAGAGTCACACAGCTAGTAAGTGTCATGTGTCTGAAGTCAGATTTGAACTCAGGTTCTCCTGACTCCAAGGCTGGAGCTCTATCTACTGCGCCACCTAGCTGCCCCTGGAACTTTTAAACCACAGTTAATTTTTGATTCACTCTTGTCAATACCCACAGCCAAGTTTCAGTAGCTATTGATAGGTTAATTATTAGAATGAGATTTTATCTATAACCAGCCTCATTAATTGATGCTCTTCTAATTAGAACAAGATAAAATTCAGAGGTGAAAGTGATCCTAGAAACCATCTAGTCCAGGATTTCTTAACCTATTCTTTGTCACCAGACTCCCTTGGCACAGTATGGTGAAGCATACAGACCCCTTCTCAGAATCATGTTTTCAAAGGCATATGATAAAATATATGGGTCTTAAAGGAAGCCAATGACATTAAAATAAAGATGTCATTTCCCCCCAAATAAGTTCATGGACCCTCTGAAATCCATCTGTGGACCCCTTCCAGATCAAAAACTCTTGACCTATATAGTCTGGTTCCCTCAGAGGTGGAAACCAAGGTTTAAAAGAGGAGGAATTAAAACAATTTTTTATTTATTTCATTAAATATTTCCCAATTACATATAGAAGAATTTTTAACATTCATTTTCAAAAATTTTGAGGTACAAATTCTCTCCCTCCCTCCTGTGCCTCTCCCCACTCCTGGAGAAGGCAATCAATATGATATCAATTATACATGTGAAGTCATGCAAAACATAATAGCCAAAACAAGAAAAAGAAAGTTTTTAAAAAGTATGCTTCAATCTGCACTCAGAGAAGAGGAGGAATTTGTAATAATCCAGCTATGGAGACGACTTTTCCTTTATTCTATCTGTAGAGAGGATTTAGTAAGTAAATCTTTTTTTTTTTTTTTTTTCTGTTCTGACTTGTTATTTCACCAGCTCCTAGCTTGGAACTCCCTTGACCACTGCAGATCAAGATCTCTTCTGCAATTTAGTCTTTGAAAGTTTCCTGAAGGCACTAAGAGATTCGGTGACTTTCTCAGGGTCACTTATCTATGTGTTTGAAGCTGGATTTAAAATCAGGTGTTCCTGACTCTGAAATCCACTCTCTATCACTGTGCTAGGCTGGTTCTCTAAGCAAATCAATGTGTAAGCAATAATAAGAGCTCAAGTGGTTGTGAAACACTCATCGATCCTCCCAATAACCCCCTGAGATAGGCGGGGCAGGCAATTGGATCTTTGTCTTACAGATCATAGGCTTGGAATTCAGAGCTGGAAGAGGCCTTAAAGGTCATTTAGACCAACCCCTTATGTTACAAAAGTGAAACTGAAGTCCAGAAAGATTTTAAGCCCAAGATTGTTGTTGTCGGTTCCTTCATACTTATGGCCATGACTCTCCATGACCCCATTTGGGGTTTTCTTGTCAAATATACTAAGTGGTTTGCCGTTTTCTTCTCTAGTTCATTTTACACATGAGGGAACTGAGGCAAACAGGGTTAGGTGACTTGCCCAGGGTCACACAGCTAGTAAATGTCTGAGGCTGGATTTGAATTCAGGTCTTCCTGACTCCAGGCCTGGTGATCTATCTACTGTGCCACCTAGCATCCCAAGCCCATGATTGCAGAGGTGGAGCAGGGATTTAAAGTCAGGTCCTGTGACTCCCAAGTTCAGCACTCTTTACACTGTGCCCCAGTTCTTCCTGAAAACTCAGAGGGTCATAGAGTTGGAAGGGACCTTAGTGGTCATCTGGTCATCTATAATATCTGAGGCCCAGAGAGACTAAGTGATTTGCCTAAAGTCACAAAGGTAAGAAGTGGAAGAGTTGAGATTTAAATTGAAGTCCTCCATCTTCCTAATCCTAGGCGGCTAGGTGGTACCATAGTACATGGCGCATATATTTCCTGGTCTGGAGTCAGGAAGACCTGAGTTCAAATCTAACCTCAGACATTTACTAGCTGTGTGACCCTGGGCAAGTCATTTAACCTTGTTTGCCTCAGTTTCCTCATCTGTCAAATGAACTGCAGAAGGAAATGGCAAACACTCTAGTATCTTTGCCAAGACAACTCCAATGGAGTCATGAAGAGTTGGACATGACCGAAACAACTGAACAACAACAGAACTTTCTAATCCAGTCCTGTCTCCACTCTGGTGGGCTACCTCTGGCTGAAGAGTCTAAGCTCTTTTAACTAGGATTTGAGCCCTGACTTCTGACCCTTAGGCACACTAAGTGGCCTCTCCAGGCAAGATTGCCTATGTAATCCATATGATTTACCTGAGTACTTGAAAGACATGATTTAGTCAATAGGAATCCTCCCTCCAGCACAGATGGCAAACTTTCTACAATATAAAAGATTGGACTTAAGTTTCTGAGGCTGGGGAAAAAGTCACCTCCCTGAGACCAGCCCACGCTGAACTTCCCTGCATTTAGCTAGACCGGTCCTTAGACAGAAGAGGAGTCACTACCCTTATAGGATGTGTCATAGCTGGCATCCTCTCTGGCACAGGCATGTAGAATCCACACCCCTGAGAGCGTGTCTGACATAGGGAGTGATCAGAGGAGGACATGAATGAGGACTGAAAAACAAATCTTCTTTTTTGAGACCTTGGCTTATTAATGGATTGAATTCGAGGGGTGCTGTTGAGTGCTGCAGGGTCTTTGTTCCTTAAATCAGAGCCCTAGGATCTCATCTTGGAACCCTTTTTTAGAAGTTAGCTACTTCAAAGTCATTTCTGTAAAGCAATGCTTTACTTACATAGTTAAGTTTCCTCATGCCATGGCCAGGCTCACTCTGGGAGTAGTTCTGCTACCTGTGCCCTGGGGTATATGTGAAAAGATAGGTATTTTGAATGCATGATTAATACTGGTATCTAAACCTTTCCCCCGGGCTGGACTAGGCTAGGCTTGGCTAATATCTGAGTGAAGCCAAAGGATTATCTCCGATAGTAAAATGCATATTTATTGTATTTAAATATGTATTTATAAATGTGCACATATTTATAATATATATGTATTTAACTGCCCCTATTTTCCCCCACATGTACTCATGTCCAACTATTGAAGCCCCTCCCTTTCATCGAGGTCTAACTCTTATGTCAGGAAGCTTTTTCTGACTTTCCTATTTACCTCCTCCAGGTAAAAATGATCTCTTTTTCCTCAAATTTCTCTTAACACTTTGGCTGGACCTGACCTTTCCTTAGGCCACATTTACCTTATGTTTTACTGATGTGTGTACTTGTCTTATCTCCCAATTAGATTGTAAGCTACCTGAGAACCGAATTTGTGTAATAGAATCATAGATTTAGAGCTGGAAGTGGCTCTAAACCATCTGGTCTAACTCCTTCATTTTATAGATGAGAATACTGAAGTACAGGGAGGTGAAGTTATACAGGGAGGTTAGGGTCATAGAACTAATAAGTGTCAGAGGTGGGATTTGAACCCAAGTCTTTCTGACCCAAGTCCAATGCTCTATCCTCTCTATGCCATGCTTCCTCTACACTACTCCAGTGCCTCATTATGGTGAGGAGGTCATCCAGGTTTCTTGAAAACATTGGCTTTGAGCCAAATGCCAGAAAGATTTTGAGTCTAGGCCCAGTGTCTGAGGACCAGCCTAGCTAAGTTCAGATAGGGTCAACACCAGCAGGATGGACAGGTGATGATTTTTTTTTGGCCGCAGAAACTCTTAAA